AAAAATACTCGAAAAACAAGCCATTGTTGATTATGTTATCAGTAGGCTTGATTACCTCTGATTCCTACCATGGTATTTTGTTTAATTTCATGAAACCTCCATAACTATTTCAAATGATCATTCTGTGAATTTGTACTAACATTTTCACCGACCCTTTATCAAACGTGCATGCTTTTACTACTGTGACATAGTTGTTATCAAATAATTACTCAAATAAACCATTTCACTGTTCATTTCTTGTAGATATGGTAAAATACAAAGTGTAAAAGTTCATAATGGCAAAGAAAATGAAGGGGGTGCCACTGTGGCATTTATGGACATTAAATCGGCAGCGAAAGCTCACAATGCTGAGAATAATGTAGATGGAAGTGTTGTAAAGACTGAATATTGTGAGGGTACCACTACTGGAAGTGTGGTCTCCAGAGCTCGGGATCCAGAAAGAACTAATTTCCCTTCCAGTACAGCTACAGTGAGAAGCTCAACATTCAGCTCTACAAGATCCAAGGGGTAAGTGATATGATGTGATGTAGTGATGATGTCGTCTCAGTCGACCAATAGCTGCCTGCTTTTATTTCAAATATTAACCTTGTAAAACTTACATATTGTGAACAGTGATTATTTCTTCTACCATCAAAACATTATTTAATTATCTTTTTACACTACACAGTCACTGCCTTATGGGAAATGCTAGTCAAATGAGATACCTTCACCTACAACCTTATCACATACTGGATTATAGACATAGTCTTGTCACAATTACACATAACTTTATATATTATTTTATCATTCCATTTAACCTTTCCAAGAGGTGACAAAATGATCTGGGGGTTATAGTAGGCTGTGATAATTGAATAAACTAACCAAAAACATTTAAAAAATAATTTATTCTCTTATTTACTCTTTATTTGTGCTGTGTTCCATCCCTACTACAGCTGTGTGTTTCGTTGCTTTTTTTTCAATTTTCCAAAACTTATATTGGTTATCATCCTTATGTTGTGCCTTTCCATACAAAGGAAAGATACTTCAACCAAACTTTGGATATATATTATTTTATCTGCCACCTCTTGGATTACTTTACTATTGTTTTGTGTTTATCGGAATAGCTTTAGATATTATTTTGTAAGTGCCTTAACTTCTATTTTGGTTACAGAAATATAAGTTTTGTATATTTGTATCAATGGAGTATAAGTATTATTTTGTGGAGTATTAACCATGGATTAGCGAGCTTTATGCAGCCTGGATTATACACGATACAGAGGATTATCCTCAATTTGCTTGTGGATTATAAAATATGGACTAGCTGCTTATTATGTAATGGATTACTTGTATAATTCTAGCTGACTGGATTACTTTCCTACCCTGGTGCAGTCTGAGGATTATTTATTTCCAATATTGTAGAGGATTACTTTTCAGACCCCGATTTTCTTTTGAAAGTCTACAGACTTACTTCTGAACGTGAATTTAGATGGAAATTTAGCTGTTTACCACATGGATATAGATACCAAAGAATTCACTGAATCTTACCCAGTGATGTGAACAAGGAGGATGGATTTATATCTAAAATATCTAATAAAGAATGTCTCATCAGTAAATAGTCTGCTTTCCTATTCTACAATTCGCATCATCCCAATTTTTCATCAAACAAGCACACATCAAAAAACCATTTAACACTCAGTTCAAAATATCTCACTTTTTTGCTAGCATATTCCAGAGGTACAGATACATAGAGATGTTGAACTCTATATTTTATTAGTGATATTTAGGGCTGAAATGGCACACCGATGTCAGTTAACTGCGATAAGATTATGGCACAGATCATCAGTGCCAGAGTAATATCTTAAAATTTAACTGATGTTATGTTACATGGATACTTAATCAAAAGTTTTGATCATTTGTTTTAAAGAACAAATTCACATTGACCTGTGAGTTTTAGAAATCTATTTCTGAATGTTTTCCAGATGTTTTATGAACATTAGGGTTGCAATGATTGACTGATGAACTGCTTTGAAAAAAATTAATCCTGATGCATCAGCTTATAACAAACGACACAGAATACTTGTATATAAGAAATTGTGTCATCATTTGATTTTTCACATAAAAATTTGTTAAAAAAAATTATTTCTTTATGCCATTGATTGAGTAATATATGTTACAAATGTTCTCATTTGTTAAGAAGTGACAAAACTGTGTCAATTTTTAAAATTTCTGGTAAATTTTTTCATTAATAAAAATGGCATTATTATTACAATAACAATATAATTGCATGAGTATTGTTTAGTGTATCAAATAACAACTACAAGAATTGTTGCAGCCCTATAATTAAAAAATCATAATTAGAAATATATAATTTAAAGTCATATTAATTTAACCAAAGTTGGGTTATGTTTGTGTAGTGTTAAGAATAAATCTAATTTTGTATCATGATATTTGATTGGTTCACAGCATTTTCACATCATATTTGTTGCTGTTTTAATCATATGAGTAAATATGGTATCATGGCTTCAGGTGTTATTTCAGCCCAAGTTGAATTGAAAGTTTTGTCAAATTGAAATCATTGAAGTAAAATGTTTGAGTTCAGCATCTTAACATGGTAGAAGAAATATATCTTACAGCTTTGCTTTTGGAAACTTAAATACCTAAACTTTGAGGATAGACCAGTCTTTTTCTGACCAGTTGAAATGTTCTGTCATCAGATGGAAGAGTTTTCAGTCATCTACTAAGATTTGTATTTAATTTGGCTATTTTACTCAAATCTATCTAGATTGTTGAAATGTACAATAATAATACTATCAGTTTCAATGTATTCACTTGATATTATGTTTTGCCATTTTTGTGAAATGAATGTATTTGTTGACATAAGTTTGGTTGATGTATGTTCAATGAATTAATGAATAGAAAACTGTTGATTTTGTTTTCCTGCCAATTTTTTTTCTTGATTATCTCCCAATTCTATTTCTATAGTATATAGAACGAATGACATGTTTGTTTTGAACAAACTCTGTTTAGAACAGGTTAACTAACTATGACTCCGCAGATATTTGGATTTCAGTTCAGTATCTCTTTTACTTTGTGGCCGAACTCAATAGATTGGTTTAGCTTGAATAATAAGGGCTGTAAGAGCTGTAAACAGCATAATATGCTTCATTTATCTTCACTTTTTGTTGCATAAATTTGTCATTATTCAGTGCCTTTGTTGTTAACATTCAAATGACAGGAAATACTAAAAATTTCTTTAACAAGAAATCCTCAGAAAAATGTTCGTTTTACAATACATGAATAGAACAGCTCAACAATCTAGAGATTTGTGCTGTGTAAAGTTTAAGTAATCCTAAAATGAAATTGAGATTTTCTCTAAACAGAAGCTAAGATCTGTTATTCATTTCCTATTAGAACATTCCTGTTCTATCAGACACATGTGTTTCTTCTCACTGTACAGATAATGTAATCTCAAGACCTGGGTTTTTTTCATCTTCTCTCTATAAATAAAGTCAAGAAAATTGAAAACTTTTTAAATTTTAACCTAAAAGCATGAATTTTTAAAAACTGATAGAAGTTAATAACCTTTGGACCTTGCTATCAGGGTAATAAAAGATGTTTGTTTCTTATTTTAAGTCTACAAAACATCATACTTATTAATGTCCGGTATAAAACCATTATAATTACAATGCAGCTTCATATCACTTTTTAAAATGTATTTCTTTGTAAAAGATGGGATTCTTTTAACATTATTGGTGTAATTTAGAACTAACTTTTAAATCAACTGAAATAGACATTTGATTTATGGCTACAACATAAATAACATGCTCTTATCACATTTTGATTTCATTGTGTGAAATAAAATGGTAGGCACGTTTATGATATTATATACTTAAATATACCACCTAAAGTTGTTTATCATTATGTTTCTTAAGTTTTTGATTATTAATTTTGCATTATTTCGGCTGGCAAGTATAGTTGTTTATCCAGAAATAAAGGTCAGTTACGGCCTGTAGGTAAAACTATTTATCTCTACCTGTCAACTTCAGCTAAGGAAATGACATTAATTATAATTGAAAATTTGTGATAGATTATGTTACTTTAAAATATTATGAAACTGAACTATATATCTGATCACTTTTAAAAAGTAAATCGTATATTGGATCACTTTTAAAAAGTAAACTATTGATGATCACTTTTAAAAAGTAAACTATTGATGATATTGATGATTACTATTAAAAAGTAAACTATTGATGATCACTTTTAAAAAGTAAACTATTGATGATCACTTTTAAAAAGTAAACTATATTGCTGATCACATTTAGAAAAGTGAACTATATTGCTGATCTCTTTTAAAAAGTAAACTATATTGCTGATCTCTTTTAAAAAGTAAACAATATTGCTGATCTCTTTTAAAAAGTATACTGTATTGCTGACCTCTTTTAAAAAGTAAACTATATTGCTGATCTCTTTTAAAAAGTAAACTGTATTACTGATCTCTTTTAAAGAGTAAACTACATTGCTGATCACTTTTAAAAAGTAAACTATATTGCTGATCTCTTTTAAAAAGTAAACTATATTGCTGATCTCTTTTAAAAAGTAAACTGTATTACTGATCTCTTTTAAAGAGTGAACTATATTGCTGATCTCTTTTAAAAAGTAAACTATATTACTGATCTCTTTTAAAAAGTAAACTATATTGCTGATCTCTTTTAAAAAGTAAAGTATTGATGATCACTTTTAAAAGTAAACTATATTACTGTTCACTTTTAAAAAGTAAACTATATTGCACACCTCTTTTAAAAAGTAAACTGTATTACTGATCTCTTTTAAAAAGTAAACTGTATTACTGATCTCTTTTAAAGAGTAAACTATATATTGCTGATCTCTTTTAAAAAGTAAAGTATTGATGATCACTTTTAAAAGTAAACTATATTACTGATCACTTTTAAAAGTAAACTATATTACTGATCACTTTTAAAAAGTAAACTGTATTACTGATCTCTTTTAAAAAGTAAACTGTATTACTGATCTCTTTTAAAGAGTAAACTATATTGCTGATCACTTTTAAATATTAAACTATATTGCTGATCTCTTTTAAAAAGTAAACTATATTGCTGATCTCTTTTAAAAAGTAAACTATATTGCTGATCTCTTTTAAAAAGTAAACTGTATTACTGATCTCTTTTAAAGAGTAAACTGTATTGCTGATCACTTTTTAAAAGTAAACTATATTGCTGATCTCTTTTAAAAAGTAAACTATATTGCTGATCTCTTTTGAAAAGTAAACTGTATTACTGATCTCTTTTAAAGAGTAAACTATATTACTGATCACTTTTAAAAAGTAAAGTATTACTGATCTCTTTTAAAGAGTAAACTATATTGCTGATCACTTTTAAAAAGTAAACTATATTGCTGATCTCTTTTAAAAAGTAAACTGTATTACTGATCTCTTTTAAAAAGTAAACTGTATTACTGATCTCTTTTAAAGAGTAAACTATATTGCTGATCTCTCTTAAAAGTAAACTATTGATGATCTCTTTTAAAAAGTAAACTATATTGCTGATCTCTTTTAAAAAGTAAACTGTATTACTGATCTCTTTTAAAGAGTAAACTATATTGCTGATCACTTTTAAAAAGTAAACTATATTGCACACCTCTTTTAAAAAGTAAACTGTATTACTGATCTCTTTTAAAGAGTAAACTGTATTGCTGATCACTTTTAAAAAGTAAACTATATTGCTGATCTCTTTTAAAAAGTAAACTATATTTCTGATCTCTTTTAAAAAGTAAACTGTATTACTGATCTCTTTTAAAGAGTAAACTATATTACTGATCACTTTTAAATAGTAAACTATATTGCTGATCTCTTTTAAAAAGTAAACTGTATTACTGATCTCTTTTAAAGAGTAAACTATATTGCTGATCACTTTTAAAAAGTAAACTATATTGCACACCTCTTTTAAAAAGTAAACTATATTGCACACCTCTTTTAAAAAGTAAACTATATTACTGATCTCTTTTAAAAAGTAAACTATATTGCTGATCTCTTTTAAAAGTAAACTATTGATGATCACTATTAAAAAGTAAACTTTATTGCTGATCACATTTAAAAAGTAAACTATATTGCAGATCACATTTAGAAAAGTGAACTATATTGCTGATATCTTTTAAAAAGTAAACTATATTGCTGATCTCTTAAAAAGTAAACTATATTACTGATCACTTTTAAATAGTAAACTATATTTCTGATCACTTTTAAAAAGTAAACTATATTGCTGATCTCTTTTAAAAAGTAAAATATATTGCTGATCTCTTTTAAAAAGTAAACTGTATCACTGATCTCTTTTAAAGAGTAAACTATATTACTGATCTCTTTTAAAAAGTAAACTATATTGCTGATCTCTTTTAAAAAGTAAACTATATTACTGATCTCTTTTAAAAAGTAAACTGTATTACTGATCTCTTTTAAAAAGTAAACTATTGATGATCACTTTTAAAAAGTAAACTATTCATGATCACATTTTAAAAGTAAACAAAATTGCTGATCACATTTTAAAAGTAAACAAAATTGCTGATCACATTTTAAAAGTGAACATATCGCTGATCACATTTAGAAAAGGGAATTATATTCCAAATAATCCTTTGGTTTAAGCTAAGCTTAGGTTAAGGTATGTCAAGTAGTACCTTTATCTGGCCTTTACAGACCAATTGGTATCATAAGGTTTAAATGTAGGATATTGTTATAGAATTTTGGTTACTGTATTGATATCAAATATGAATACATGTGGAACACTGGGTGTAAATGTTTCACTTTGATTTGTTTTCCTTGTTTATTTGTTATTCATGATCTTCTAAAAAGTTAGGCAGCAAATGTTCCAGGTATTATATATGAAAGCAATCAATTGTTTTAGATTGACTTAATAGCTTAGATTGTGGTGAAATTCAAGTGAATTAGAACATGATTTATTTAGCTTGGATGGGCAATAAAGATATTTGTTCATATTTGACATTTGGCAAGTTTGTTGTTATTCATAAATATAAGCAACCAGTTATAATTTCAGGAAATAACTTCTGATTTGATAAATTGTTAGTTTCTAACGATTAATGATAGAGGTGTTGTCAAGCAGTGATATCTGTTAGTTGGTATATTCTGATAAGGCTAGCATGATATGAAGGAATTAAACTCTATGATAAGATATAACTATCAAGATTATATCAGTTTCAAGTCTGATATTAAATCACTTTGAACTTTGATATCTATTATCCTTCCTAGATACCCATTAAATATCATCCTATTTTCAAACTAGCTTCCCATGACTGACTAAATATATCAGCCCGTTTGTTATTTCAAATTCTCATACAAATATAACCTGGAGTTTGGCTTTTATCCAAATTTTTGACTGAAAGATTGGCAAATAGCCAAATAATTTGAGTTGAAAAGTGTGGTATTGCTGACTCACAGGTAACATCTGTGTTGAAAACCCAACAATATATTTTGTGAATTTTTTCTAGTTTATATACTCTGGTCTATATAACCTTTTTGAATAGCTTTTAACAGATTTTTTATACGCCCACACGTAAGTATGGGCGTATGTTGTAGTTGCCCCTGTCCGTTGGTCCGTTCACATTTACCTCGTGCTCGCTCTACAGGCTACAATTCTCTATAGAATCTTTTGTATGTGTGTCAATATCATTAAGAAGATGTGCACTATTGAATTTGGTGATGATCCAATGATTTTCTTTAGAGATATTGCATAAAACTCTGAATTTGCGTTACTTTTTTGCCTTGTGCTCACTCCACTACGATTCTCCATACATTCTTTTTATCTTTTGTATGTGTGTCAATATCATATTGAAGTTGTTCACTTTTCAATTTGGCGATGAGATATCGCATAAAACTCTGATATCGCGTTCGTTTTTTTCACTTAATTTGCTCGTGCCCACCCTAAAGACTTCAATTCTCCAAGTATTTGTGGGCCCAGTTTGTTATCGAAATGTCAATTCTTTTTTTTTTTTTTTTTTTTTTTTTTTTTCCCTTTTTTTTTTTTTTTTCCGTTTTTTACACACCTTCCTGGGCTTAGA